ATCTCGATATTACGGTCTTCAGACGCACGGCTAAACCCAAATGTTTCTACTTCTAGGTTTAATTGTTATTCAGAATTAGATTTTTATATATTTTTATTGAAAGAAAAGTAGAACTAACACTAGATCTAGAGCCGTAACAGAAAATAATTAGTTGATATGCTAGTCTTTTTGACAAGCGACCATTGGAAAGAGGTTTGTTGTAAATTTGTCTTCAATATTAATTTCGTTTTTGGCGCCATTTAATATTATCGTTGTTATAGATTCTCTGCCACAAGTTAGGTATAAATCTAACCTTAGGCGAGGTCGCTTGCGGGCGAGGCGCTGCGGTGTACTGATCAGTTCTAGGTTGGTATGATATTAATTGTAGAGCCTCGGCTGCAAGCGACCTCGGCTTAATCAGGCGAAGTCATAGAGTCTCTGCCATAAATTAGGCAGAAATTAGGCTTCATCCGAGATCACTTGCGGGCGATGTGTTGTGGTTTGCTGATTAATTCTGAGTTGATATGATATTAACTACAGAGCCTCGACTCGAATCCTTAGTTAGACTTAATTAACCCTTTGTGTCCCGACGGTACTTTAAAGTACTTGTAGTTTTAAACACTCATTTTAAATCATTTTAAAAAGAAAGCTTTGAGCTTTAATTTAAAATAAGTCTCATTCCTTAATTTCAATAAATACGGCTTCCAGGAATTTTTAAATTAGCATCTTTTTTGACACTTTTAGGTTATACGAAAATGTAAGTTTTGTTTCAACATTTTTTTTCTCAATATTTTTCCAATCCAACCCAACAATTATTATACATCATTTTAAAGAGAAAGCTTTGAGCTTTAATTTAGAATAAGTCTCATTCCTTAATTTCAATAAATACGGCTTCCAGGAATTTTTAAATTAGCATCTTTTTTGACACTTTTAGGTTATACGAAAATGTAAGTTTTGTTTCAACATTTTTTTTCTCAATATTTTTCCAATCCAACCCAACAATTATTATACATCATTTTAAAGAGAAAGCTTTGAGCTTTAATTTAGAATAAGTCTCATTCCTTAATTTCAATAAATACGGCTTCCAGGAATTTTTAAATTAGCATCTTTTTTGACACTTTTAGGTTATACGAAAATGTAAGTTTTGTTTCAACATTTTTTTTCTCAATATTTTTCCAATCCAACCCAACAATTATTATACATCATTTTAAAGAGAAAGCTTTGAGCTTTAATTTAGAATAAGTCTCATTCCTTAATTTCAATAAATACGGCTTCCAGGAATTTTTAAATTAGCATCTTTTTTGACACTTTTAGGTTATACGAAAATGTAAGTTTTGTTTCAACATTTTTTTTCTCAATATTTTTCCAATCCAACCCAACAATTATTATACATCATTTTAAAGAGAAAGCTTTGAGCTTTAATTTAGAATAAGTCTCATTCCTTAATTTCAATAAATACGGCTTCCAGGAATTTTTAAATTAGCATCTTTTTTGACACTTTTAGGTTATACGAAAATGTAAGTTTTGTTTCAACATTTTTTTTCTCAATATTTTTCCAATCCAACCCAACAATTATTATACATCATTTTAAAGAGAAAGCTTTGAGCTTTAATTTAGAATAAGTCTCATTCCTTAATTTCAATAAATACGGCTTCCAGGAATTTTTAAATTAGCATCTTTTTTGACACTTTTAGGTTATACGAAAATGTAAGTTTTGTTTCAACATTTTTTTTCTCAATATTTTTCCAATCCAACCCAACAATTATTATACATCATTTTAAAGAGAAAGCTTTGAGCTTTAATTTAGAATAAGTCTCATTCCTTAATTTCAATAAATACGGCTTCCAGGAATTTTTAAACTAGCATTTTTTTTTGACATTTTTAGGTTATACGAAAATGTTAGTTTTAACTCAATACTCTTTTCCTCAATATGTTGGGTTGAATTAGAAAAATTCAACCCAACAATTATTATACAACGATTTAAACAAAAAGCTTTAAGCTTCAATTTAAAATAAATTTCATTTCCTTTACTGAGCGTATTTTGATAGCGTTTTAATTCTGCCATAAAGTTTCAAAAGTTTTGACTTCTTGAGATACAAAGGGTCAAGCGAAGCCATAGATTCTCTGCTATGAGTTAGGCATAAACTAAACTTCAGTCGAGTTAAGTTTCTTAAAAAGTATAAATAATTTATTTCAAAACGAATTTTTAAAACATTTCAAAACAAATTACCAAATCGTAAAGATATGTAAATTAGTTGAAACAGAAGCTAATTTAATATGAAGCTAAGGGTAACAATTAAAACCCAATAACGAGGGAAATTAACTAGGCTTTGTAAGGTTTGTCCGAAAGGTGTAACATTCATTTCGACTACGTGGGGGTGAAGCTTTTTATTAGGGCATTTGTCCCCTCTTAGCAACGGCGCGTGGCGCCCTTGTTACAAAGCTCAAACTGACGTGTCGTTTAAAGCCCGCTACGAATCGAGTAGCTTTGACAACTGCCAGCAGCTTTTTCCGGAAAATTCCCAACATTCCCCCTCTAATTATCAGCACGCAGCTCAGCTTAATGACGAACCGGGTCCGGTCACACGTCTGTTTTGTATTTCCCAGAGAGACGACAGAAGGAATTTTGTATTCCCGAGGCTGGGTTTTTAATTCGTAAATGGTACACGACCTACCAGTAGGCAAGAGGTACACACAACCATTACCGGTCGAATTTACGACACGTACGTGGCCAATCATTTTTGCGTTACTTGAAATTGCGGAAGCCAGCTGTTGCGGCAATTAATTCCCCGGGCTGTACCTCTTTAATGTTCCTTTTTTACGATTAATTTTGGATTTTCTTCAAAGTTACGTCTACTGACTTCGTGTTTGCATTCCGGAAGACGAGGCGGACTCTTTATCTATCGAACCGAACTTTTAGCCTCAAAAGCCGTCTTTCAACGATGGCGAGTTTGAGCAAGTGCTCGATCGTAACGCAAGAACTTTCGGTCGTCTCGGCATTCATCGGATTTTAGCGGGACGTGTGCGTCCGTATTCGAGAGAGCTTTTGCAATAAGGGCGATAGCTTTTGCACTAAACATCAAAGTTGCCCATTTCCCCGGCCGAACCCTACGCTTATCCAAGGATCTTCAAATACCACCCTGCCTATTTCAGATGCCCATTAAATACGACCCGGTGACGGAAACTCCATCTATATACGATCTTTCTTACATCTATATTACCAAGATTTCTTTCATAAAAAGAAATCAACCTCATCTTATTCATCTTTATCTATTTTATCATATGATTACTATAATGATAATTGCTATGAGGAATTAAAAAAGTCTTTAATGAATAGGGGCGATTAGATAAATTGAAAGGTCGAAGGTTATTAATTAAATTGTAGTCTTTTGATAAGGGCTGTCAAAGGGTGAAATTTCTCGTATTAAAACAATAAATTAAACCAATTTAATTTACCCTCTAATTTATAGTTGTGTGTAGATTAGAAAACGTTTTACCCCGAATACAAAGTTGTTTTAGTAGTTCTTCCAAAGGGGGAAAAAGGCCAACAAAGTTGCTGGTACCATGATTCATCGGTTGTGTTTTTCTACGCTCCCCTTCGTAGGCTGTCATTCGCGTCTTTGCGGAGACTTTAATAGTTATATTATGCAAGCGGCGCCAAATTAAGCCGTTACTCTTCCATTATTTCGGGCAATAACTCTTGTGTATGCCTCGGTTGTAAAGATTTTACGGTTTTGGGGGAAGGAACGAAATTATCGCCGGGCGAATTAGAAAATGAGTTCTGGTCTGGCGTATCGAAGAAAAGTCGATGACAACTAATTTAAGAAAATAGGTTCCTAATAAATTCCCCTAACATTGTGCCATAACAAAGTATCAAATGAATCCAGATTTACCGAGTTTCTAATACGTTGATGGACCCTTAATAACATGGGGACGTTTACGGTCGGATTTAATCGTCCACAATCGAATTAATCGGATTAATACCGTCATAAACGTTTCGTAAAACTGAGACGAATCGTTTGTTCGAAAGAATGGAGACTCGCGCTTGACCTTTCTCGCCTCGACAAGTTTTCTCACTAAATTCCAAACTCGTTACGGATTAGAAAGGCACGTGTTGCGACAAGTGTGTCTAGCGGAGAAGACTTGTAGACGCTCATTTTAATAGGTCTTCATAGAATTTCGCGTCTAGAACTCTTCACGGTTCGCTCACGCGCGTCGTCTTCATCGTCTGGTTTATAATTCGCCTACGGTCCGAGTTTAACATTTTTTTACACTTCGTTCGCCTGTTATCCTCGAGGCATAGCTTGAGTTAAGTTGAGTTGAGAGAGAGACGACATTGCGGGCCTCAATTATTCTCGGAAACACATTTGCATATTGAAGTATTTTCCCTGTCGCAAATTGTCCGCACTTTATCGTTATTACTACCGGGCTGCAAGTTTTTCTTTTCTACGACTTAATGGCTGGTCATTAATATAATCAACGCTATAATATACAGGATATATTTATCTATTTTTAACGAAATAAAAATTAAAAGTTCAATAAAGATTTCTTGTATCATGTAACAGACACCTGAGTAACATTAGATTAATGGTGGGCGTCGTAGACGTCAAGGTAAAGCGAACCTTAAAAAGGTTAGCAAACCGACCCATTCGGACGGGTCACGATTTTCATTAATGCATTCTGGGACTTTCGTTGTTATTATTGCTACACCGAAGTGCGGTGTCGAAAGCCAAGCGATTGTTGATGCAAAAGTTGGCACGAAAAGGATCGTTCTTAAAGAGGGGGCGGCGAGAATGGATTAAAATGACGCATTCTTGAATCTTTCCATTCTCCGTATCCTTCCTTTTCAGCGAAATTCTACAAAAAGAGTCCGGATTTATCCGGGAAGCCCGTGTTGAAATTCAAAATAGCCCAGTAGTATTTCCACGTTTTACTCTTGGACGGTTCGCAGCCGTTCAGATTAAACGTAATCCGTCCGAGTTTCCACAAACAATCCAATGACGGCGGACGCCCGAGTTATAAATACCATACCAGTTCGGATTCACGTTCAACAAACAAATCCACTTTTATTTCTTACGTAAGTTTTGCAACCCCCCATAGTGCATTTCCTTGTTTTGAACGAGCAAAAACTTCTAGGAATTTATGAAACAAAAAAATAAATTACCTCCCGGTAGTTGAGTTGGGAGGGTAATTAAAATCTAATAGTAATCGGGGGTTGTGATCTGATAAGGTTTGAATTAATAGTCCCCGATTAAAGCACATGCATTAATACCATTTACATAAAACCCCCTCGAATTGATCCCCAAGAACTTAATGAAGGGGGAAAAATATTCCGTTTGTTATTTTTTTAATATTTATTAGTGTCAGAATTCGAATACACTCCGTGCGGTTTCAGTAATCCAATTAACTTTGCCTCCTTTAATAAATCAACTCGGAGTTCGGAAACGCAGAGTTTTTAATTAGGCGCGGTCGACTTCAAGTGGTAATAAGTTGGAGCCCGGCCAGAAGAAGACCATCCTGTACCGCCTGACCTCGTCATATTTACGTCTCCAGGTGGCCCAAAAAGTTTCCAACACCACTTTCTCATCGTACTCAACAATCTAAAACTTAAAAATCGTTCCACGGCGTTGTGACGCTCGTTATTGGTATTTCTCGACTCCGTTGTTATGATGGATGAGCGAGTATCGTTTAGTAACCAGTTTGAACGTGACCTTTCCGTGTAAGTACACGCCGGAACGCGTACAAGAAACAACCTCGGACACCTCGCCACGACTGTTTTGATTGCCGTTTAGTTTCAAGATGCTCAGATGAGAGCGTTAGATGGCCACCCTCGTCGAGTATGATAGATCGTGCTGACCGTTTGTATACAGATGAAACAGTCAGATAACCAGCTAACGTTTACATCTTTTTTTTGCGTTTAATACTAACCAGTTCTACCTTTCACGAAATTAACATAATCTTAAATAGAGAATGGGAAAGAGTTTTTATATAACACAATTAAATTAATTTTAATTATAAATTTATATATATATAGGATTTTTGGAGAGATATATAAAAGACAATCCTAAAAATTTTTGGCACTTTGTTAACATGAGTAGAAACAACTCGAACTCCCCAAGTGTTCTGAAATGGAATGGTAAAACCATAACCGATTTACCTACTATAGTGAATTTATTTGCTGACCATTTCGAAACTATGTACAGTATCAATCCTGTTATGACTGGGGTTTCTTTCGGTATCTCTGAAATTAGCTATGGCGAAATGGTGGAATCCTTCAATAGATTTAAGGCAAAAAATACAACCGGGCCAGATGGCATTCCTGCATTTATAGTTAAAGACTGTGCACCTGCATTTCTGCGACCACTGCAACAACATATTTTCAATCTAATTGTAAGGAACTCTAAATTTCCGGAATCCTGGAAATTGAGCAGAATTCGTCCTGTTTTTAAAAAGGGTGATAGGTGCTGTGTGATGAACTATCGGCCAATAGCCATTATAAATAACTTCGCGAAGCTGTTTGAACAAATCGTGGCATACAAGATGGAATTCCACACCAAAGCGCGAATGTCTAAACATCAACATGGTTTCGGCAAACGTATCTAGGGCACTAGATCGCCGTGGACCTATAGACCTATTCTTGTGGACGGAAAAGTTGGAGAGGTTTGGGTGTGATTATTCTCTTACACGACTTCTGCCATCCTATGTGTCAAATCGAAGACAATACGTCGAGTTGGCTGGTCGGTTCTTCATAAAATTTAATAACTGTAAGAAGAAATGTGACAACAGATTTTAAAATGTCAAAAATAGAATTTAATTTGGGTGGGTGCCGTTAGATGGGGCGAGAAACTAATTTAAATTCTTAAATTAATGAAAATAATAAATTATGGAATTACTAAATGATGAAATTATTCAAATTTAATAAAATCAATCTACTTACTATCCTTTTCTTTTAAATCCCAAAAATTTTAAATTGACGGAGAAAAGTTAGGCTGGAAACTTCACAGATTGATTTAGGGCGAAAAATCTCTTCGTGGACCATAAAATCACTTTAAATGAACAGTTTGGATCTCCATAGATGTGTTACAATGTGTTCTTATGTTCTATTAAGTTTCTTTCCTCATAAAAATTAATAATATTAGGAAGAAATGTAACAGCTGATTTTAATATGTCAAACATTAATTTTAATTTAGGTGATTACCGATAGATGGGGTGAGCAACTCTGTAAAAGTAAAGTCCTGTAAAAGAAGAATTTTATGATTTAATAAAATAAAAATTAGAAATTTTTATACCCAAAATCACTTTAAATAAATAATTTGGGTCTTTAAAATGTGTCATGATAGGTTTTTTGGTTCAAATTTGACAATTATAGGAAGAAATGTAACAGCCGATTTTAAAATGTCAAAAATAAAATTTAATTTAGGTGGATATCGTTTAATTTAAATTGTTAAATTAACGAAAATTATAAATTATGGAATTATTAAATGATTCAAAATTAATAAAATTAATCGACTTACCATCTTTCTATTTTAATAAATTATCCGGATATTTTAAAATCATAAAATTTTAAATTGACGGAAAAATGTTAGGTTAGTTCTTTCGATTGAAACTTTACATATTGATTTAGGACGAAAAATCTCTTCGTAGAGCATAAAATAACTAATAAACACTTTGGAGCTTCAAAAACGCGTTATGATGGGTTTTTAGGTTCCATTAAGTTTCTTTTTTCGTGAAATTTAATAATTTTAGCAAAAAATCCAACACTGATTCTAATATGTCAAACATAAAATTTTATTTTATTACCGATAGATGGGGTGAGCAACACTGTAAAAGTGTAGTCCCTAGATTTACAACGTACCGGGGTTTGACGCCATTTTGGCTCGAAAGTCTAAATTTCCTTTCTTTTTTTCTCGTGGTACTCCGAAGAGTTGAGACTTAGCAATGAGCTTTAACACGAATGCCCTATTGTACGCAGATGATCTGAAGTTGTTTACTACTATTGGTAGTGAACAGGATTGCATTTCACTTCAATTGGAGTTAAAATAGACTCTATTCGTGGTTTACTACGAATGACTCTGAATACTTCCAAATATCAGGTAATGACATATTGCCAGAAACGTAACACCATCAATTTTGATTATGATCTTGGGGCTGACTGCCTATCGCGCATTTTTAGAGACGTGCGGCTAAACCCAAATGTTTCTAGTTTTTGGTATAGTGTTAGTTCTAGTTTTATACTAGCACTGTTACTATGTAAAACTAACACGATACCTAGAACTAGAATCATTCGGGTTTAGCCATCTTTAGAGATGTGTGGCTAAACCGAAATATTTCTAGTTCTAAGTGTTAGTTCTAGTTTTGCACTATCACTGGAACTAACACAAAACCTAGAAAATGAATCATTCGGGTTTAGTCGTCTTGAGAGACGTACAGCTAAACCCGAATGTTTCTAGTTCTAGATCTAGTGTTAATTCTAGTTTTGGTTCAATAAAAATATACGACATCTAATGCTAACCGTGCGTTTAACACGACTGTATATCTCTTATTTTTATTTTAAATCTAATATATCTAAAAAGATTTATTTTCATTTGTTACGGATTTTAATTTAATTTAATTTAAACGAGAAACCAGGACGTAATTTAATCGGCCGAAGGCTAATTTCACGAAATTCCGGGCATTCTCTAATTGGCCCCCGGCGAGCTCAACAGGATACAACGGATCCTATAAGGATCCCGAGGATCTCCCAGTTTGTAAGTGTCAATCTTTGCGCAACGACGTTGCTCTAGTTGCCACTATAAATACGACTTCGTCGTCTTCAAAGTACACCACACGTCAATCACACGCCGAATCCGTCTACTTCCGGTTTCCGCCATACGAATCCACTCGGTTTTGTGTACAAACAGACTCCGATCGATCAATTTATACTAAAAGCAAACCGCACAATTTCAATCTTTTTTGATTTTTGATTTGAATATATTTTTTATGTTTTAATTAAGTTATCGTTCGTTTCGGTGTTAACAGGAAATGAGACATTAATATTCTAGCGTGTCGTGGGAGTTGATTTTAACATTGAAACGTGTTTGTGTCACGATAACTTCAAATTACCAAGAATTACCTCAAAGGAAATTCGAAAAAATTGTTTTTTTGCTTTGGTTTATTTAAAAGAAGGCGTCTAAATAAATCATTGAAAAGGGTGCTCTTATAAAGGGAGTAAAGCAAACAGGGAAAATGCATTATGTAATAATATCCGCTACAAATACTCCCACTATGGATAGCTCCAGCTTTTAGATGTGTTTAATATTGAATAAGAAACATTCGGGTGGCGAAGTAACCCCACCATCTAGCATCGAACGCGCGGGTTTAATAGTTAATTAAGTTCAAGGAGCGACAATGGGAGCGAATACCTACTAGTTACTCAGATGAAGGGTTTAGGTACGGATATTAAAAGGAAATTGCAATAACCGAATCCTACATAAACTATTCCCCTACATCTAAATATCCCCCAATTTCCAATTACCCAATACAAACGTTATAACTCGTTATGTATAAGTCATTACGTAATCTAATCAGTCCATTGTAATTTATTTGGAAAAAAATAATTGACGTTTTCGACAAAGGATCGTTGACCGTTGAACAACAATTCGGGTGCGTTCAAAAATAAAAAAATTCGTTCACCTATCATTTATATTCAGCGTTTAATTGCGATTGCGTACGCAAACGACCAGTGAGTCACGTACAGCAGTAAAAAACTGAACGGAAATACCGAAAGGAAGGGATTTATAAGCAATAAACTGGACGTTACTGTTTTATGAGGCACTCATTAGGGAATATCGTAGTCGATTTAATGTTTTAAAGGGTTGGTATTTATGTAAATTTGTTTAGCATCCAGATTTATTAAGAAATGATATGTATGTTAGATTGTAGCTTAAAAATTCTAGTTTATGATATGATATAAAAACTATAAAGATATATGATATAAAAAAAGTTTTAATGAAGAAATTGTCAAATTGATAAATCAAAAATGATACGAAATTTTCAAAAAATCATAACAATTGTATTTTCAATGATCATGATATGATATGTATGTTAAATTGTAGCTTAAAGATTCTAGTTTATTATATGATATAAAAACTATAACATAATATTATTGAAATTTCAAGGAAAAAGTTATTAAAGAAGAAAATGTTAAATTTATAAATCAAAAATGATACGAAATTTTCAAAAAATCATAACATCTGTATTTTTAATGATCATGATATGATATGCATGGTAGATTGAAGCTTAAAGATTGTAGTTTATGATATGATATAAAAGGTATAAAATAGTATTATTGATATTTCACGGAAAAAGTTATTAACGAAGAAAATGTTATGTTTATAAATCAAAATTAATACGAAATTTAAAAAAAATCAGAATAACTGTAATTTTAATGGTCATGATATGATATGTATGTTAAATTAAAGCTTAAAGATTCTAGTTTATGATGTGATATAAAAGCTACAAGGTAATATTGAAATTTTCAGGAAAAAATTATTAATAAAGAAAATGTGAAATTTATAAGTCAAAAATGATACGAAATTTTCAAAATATCATAATTACTGTATTTTTAATGGTCATGATATGATATGTATGTTAAATTGAAGCTTAAAGATTCTAGTTTATGATGTGATATAAAAGGTATAAGATAATATTATTGAAATTTTAAGGAAAAAGTTATCAAAGAAGAAAATCTCAAATTTATAAATCAAAAATGATATGATATTTTCAAAAAATCATAAAAACTGCATTTTTAATGGTCAAGATATGATATGTATGTTAAATTGAAGCTTAAAGCTTCTAGTTTATGATATGATATAAAAGGTATAAGATAATATTATTGAAATTTTAGGGAAAAAGTTATTAAAGAAGAAATTGTCTAATTTATAAATCAAAAATGATACGAAATTTTCAAAAAATCATAACAATTGTATTTTTAATGATCATGATGTGATATCTATGTTAAATTGAAGCTTAAAGATTCTAGTTTATGATATGATATTAAAGGTATAAGATAGTATTATTGATATTTCAAGAAAAAAATTATTAAAGAAGAAAATATCAAATTTATAAATCAATAATAATACGAAATTTTAAAAAAATCAACAACTGTATTTTTAATGATCATGATATGATATGTATGTTAAATTGAAGCTTAAAGATTCTAGTTTATGATATGATATAAAAACTATAAGGTAATATTATTGAAATTTTCAGGAAAAACTTATTAAAAAAGAAATTGACAAATTATAATTGCCTATTAGCTAGTTTAAAATATATTGATGTTATGATTTATTAAAAATTATACTTTAAGTCTTAAAGTAAAGTGATTATCTTGGATTTGAAAATAAAATAAAAAATTATCAAAGAAACCGGCAGTATAGGACCTATAAGAAGCAATTAAATTTTAAAACCGGAACAGCCCGAGAGCTTTTATAGCCGGCCGTCCTTATTAATGTTTCAGCATCATAAAACTTGTGTTCTAAGAAGCCGTCCGTTGAAACGAAAAAGAGATTCCTTTTTGCGGTCAGCGGTTTTTCCGTTCGGGTTGATAAACACCTAACTTTTAATAACTCTGTCGTAGTTGTTAACTGCAAACGACAAATTAGAACAATTTAAACGTCCCCCATTTCGCTTTGGAAACCTCGACTCGTAGCCTTTTCGTCCTTTTGCAATTCGGTGCTCAATTATCGGGCGCCGCGACGACTTATGGGTTAAATTAAAAGCGGCCGGGTCGGTTCGTGCGGGAAAAACCTCCGAGTGGAAATAAAAGATTAAAGCCCGAAAGGTAGAATGGGGCGGGCCGTTTAGTGGTCAGCTTCGTAATTTACAGTTTCCACCCTTGTACTGTTCCCTCGTAATGTACTATTTTTCGAACGGGATTCGAGTAATATATTGAACGTCGTTACGATTAAAACATTCAATTTCAATTTTACATGAAATTTCCTTGAGATTGAACCACTTCTTGTCTGACGTGCTGCACGCAATGGCTCTACAATTAATACAAGTGGCCTCTACGCGTTCGACGGTTCTTGAGAGAGTCACGATGCTCGGTTGGGTTCCGCCGCAAACTCTAGGTACTACTACGTTTAGAGGAGCACACCCTTCGGGCGAAAGAGTTTTCTTCCCCTGGATCCGAGAAGCCGTAATGACCGTTCCCGGTCCCCCGCAGGATGTCTTCGCGCCGTGCAATTTAAATTTCCAATTTATTCCGAGACTCCTGGGCGGATGGGCGCGAAGAAAAAACGCATCTCACCCGGTTTATCGCCTCGTAGACCTCAGCAAGTGCGAAATAAACTCGACCGAAATTGCGAGACGACCGAAATGTAGTGCTCACAAGTTCAACCAACTGTGGAAATTGTGCATGAAGAATGAAGGGGGATTTTTCGTAAAACGTTTTTAGAATTATCGTTGAGAAAATTTTTTTAAAAAATTGAAAATGCATGTGAAAAAATATTGATAAATTTAATTTTTCGTAATAGGTTTGGCAATTTTGAACCTCAATGACTACATACTGCTAATAGAAGACTAAATAGTTCTTTGCAGAAGACTTGATTTTTTTTGGAATACACCAAGTAGTGCTGGCAGAAGATTAGATACTCCTTGCAGATGACAATTTATTGCTTACAGAAGAGTAGAGGGTGCTAATTTAAGACCAGATTCTCCACGTAGAAAGTTACTGCTTGTACAAGACTGTATATTCTTGGCAGAAAAGTAGACACAGCTCGCAGTGGGCTAGAGGTGATAGATTTAGCTTGATGTTGAAAGATGAGTTTCAGCTCTGCGATTATAATGAAAGGCTCATTTAGGAGATTCAACAGCATATCCAGGAGGATAGTGAACCTATTAATATCTGCACTGTGTTAATTAATTATCGTACCCGACGTCATCATTGGAAGTATGCAACCAATATCACAGCGCGATTAACGCATTGTAAGCCAATTGCGCTGTGATATTGGTTGCATATGATTCGGGTATGATAATTAATTAACACACTGTATATATTGCCAATATTATATTGCCGCTGGTGTAGTAGAACTTACATTTATACAGATTAGATTTGCGTGAGGAGTAAAAGCTTTCTATATAATATAATATATATAAATAAGATATTATCCTTAAAGAATGTTTTATACAAGTTTTCTTTTATTATTATTTAAAAGATATGAAATTGAAATGTATCTTGTTTCTTAAGATATACTAGTAATTTAGTTAAAGCTCGAGTTTTACAACTAAAGTAATGCGTTGTGTAGAGAAGAGAAACCCATACAGACGTGATTTTTCTGTCGACGGTCGTCGAAAGATACGAGCTATTTCGGAATTTATAGCGGCCCGACGCCGGTTAAGTGCACAATTCAATGCGTAAATATGCCTCGTAGGACGACTCTCGGCGAGATATAAACTTATACGTCGTAAACCGGGCCGTAACGTCGCCCAAACAGCACCGTTCAAGTTCACAGATGCACGCACCGAAGTTGTTGTTACCGATTCATGATTACATGTTTATTTGAAACAGTTGCCCTGGCGTTGTTTACACTTGGACTAAGTTACGGATGTCGCTTGCGTGGGATGCAATCTGCGCCGCGTTACGTTGTTGCCGGAAGGATCTCTTTGATGACCGAATTTCGTTTTAAATTTAACTTCCCCAGTTAAGTAGACTGTCATCGGTGACATACTTATCCTTTTAACATTAATAAATTTTCTTTTTAACTTAAGAATATGAAGATGAAAGCGCTAAAGATATTTATCAACTTGTTACCTGCGGACACGTGTGACCATTTTCGTGGAAAGTACGATTTTTCATCTTTAAGAGAAGAAAAGGGTCGTTAATGAGCGGGCACGTTTCTTATATTAAGATCGCCTTAAGTGTCTAATAGTGAATGTGCGATTACCAATTTAGGTAATAGCCGGGAGTAGCGCGTGGGAAATATTGTGTTACGGGTTGGGCGGTTCTTCCTGTGTGGAGGATCCTAAAAATCATACGAAATACCGAACCATCTTCGACATAAATTCACCAACGTACCGCATATGGTGGCGGCATCGTGCATGTGTGGCCGGAGGACGCGTGAGGGTAGAACCAAGAGGCCATTACGGGAAGAGGAGAGAGGATGGTAGGGTCAAAGGTCGTTTTTCCCGACGACCGCGAATATTAGATGTGAACCGAAGGAGTAAATCTTCTCGTGAAATATTGGACGGGGAGCGGATTAAATGTTAATGAAATTTTACCTCCACGTTGGTAAAAGGATTTCTTTTTTCACCTTAAATTAAGACATAATTTTTTTAAATTTTTATATAAAAGATCGTTTTCATGTTTGTGTTATAGAGTTGTTGTTGTAGTAAAAACTTGTAAACGCCACGTCAACCATTGTAGAAACTCTCAACATACAAACTGTTTCGTGGCATAGAAACTTAGCGAGGCGTTAATAATAGTTTACTCGGTCCCAACCGGCACATCTCAACTATTCAATCTATTTAAAGCACCTAGACGGCGAGCACCTCGCGAATTCCAAACTATTGTTCGCGTCGAATAATTATGCAAAATATAAATTCCCTAATACGTATGACAGCGCCACGCTCTCGTATCTACATTGTTATTCATATCGCCCATAGCGACGCGAAGCGGTCTCTCTGCAAACCTGCCAGAGGCACTTCCGGTGTAATAATTTCATCAACTGAACCCGACTAATGCAACTATAGAAAATCCACTCTTACATTTAAAAGATTAAAAGAACCCTTTTATTTCTGATTTTTCTTTGTAACTCTCTGAAAAATATGGTCGAACACCAGTCGTTATTTTTAATCTGACTTCGGGACGACTTTAACGACCAAAAAAGAATCTTCCCGACCACAATTATCCTTTCAGATAGTTCCCGTCTATCTCGTATTTTGTAATGCATTAATGCGTTTGTGTTGTTTTCTCGTTCTCCGATAACGCCGCAGCCGCAATCTTAACAGCTTTATTACTAATTTCAACTTGTCGATATGGTTTATTACTGAAATTGGACCAAGTATACAGTGTTGAACAAAAAGTGAAACAACAAAAATATGTACCTAGAATGACCTAGAACTAGAATTATTCAGGTTTAGCCGTCTTGAGAGACGTGCGTCTAAATCCGAATATATCTAGTTCTAGGTCTAGTGTTAGTTCTAATTTTACATTAACACTATCACTAGAACTAACACAAAACCTAGAACTAGAATCATTCGGGTTTAGCCGTTTTGAGAGACGTGCGGCTAAACCAGAATATTTCTAGTTCTAGGTCTAGTGTTAGTTCTAGGTTTACACTAGAACTAACACAAGACCTGGAACTAGAATCATTCAGGTTTAGCCGTCTTGAGAGACGTGCGGCTAAATCCGAATGTTTCTAGTTCTAGGTCTAACGTTAATTCTAGTGATAATGGTGGTAGCGCTAATTAGTATAAGATATCAATATGCTGCATATTTTTATTGTACTAAAACTAGAACTAACACTAGACCTAGAACTAGAATCATTCAGATTTAGCCGTCTTGAGAGACGTGCGGCTAAATCTGAATGTTTCTAGTTCTAGGTCTAGTGTTAGTTCTAATTTTTCATTAACACTATCACCAGAACTAACACAAAACCTAGAACTAGAATCATTCAGGTTTAGCCGTCTTGAGAGACGTGCGGCTAAATCCGAATGTTTCTAGTTCTAGGTCTAGTGTTAGTTCTAATTTTAATAGTTCTTTAGCACTAGATTGTGGTAAATTTTTATTGAACGAAAAGTAGAACTAACACCAGAGCTAAAACGAAAATATTCTGGATTTTATGTAACTATGATTACTGCATTCATATATTGTGAGTTTTATGAAATTGCCGATCACGCTGACTTTTTGGCGGACACTGTATATGAGGAGAACCCAAATATCATTTGTAAATTTAATAGATTTAATAGTACTAATTACCTCTCAACTATAAATTTAGTGTCTCTATTTCTGATGCTATATAAAAGTGGTTCTTCACGTTATCGTATTTTTATGTCCTGTTGCTTTCAAACGTTATCATACATCTGTTCATAGTTATTATTATTGCTTCTTGAGTTCTTTCCCACGTCGCGTCGCTTCGCATCGCATCGATAGAAAAATAATCTAATTTTTTTTCGTGACCAGATTTAAGTAACATTAAACTTAAAGGCGGATGTAGACATTTGTCAATAAAGAGGGTTGGATCCTCACACTTTAAGGGGGATTTTACTACCAAGTTCTATGTACTTTGTCGCACGTGACAGTTTTGATCCAATTTCCTTAAAAGCAAACCCTCTTTGCCAAGTTTAAAACAAACTGGACACAAACATATTAAGACTGTAAAAAAAATATATAAATTGAATTGTTTAATAAGTAGATTATCTAAGTTGATGAGTTGTTGTATATGTTGTATTGAAGGTGTTAAGTGATTTCTAAGCCGAACAAGATGCTTTTGTAAATGGTAACGGGAGCGGGTCAAATCTGTAATCCAGATTAGGACCGCGTCTCAATTAGGGGTTTAACCCCGTATTGGTCGCGAAGGGTTCTATTTGCAGTCGCCACACGGCTGTTAAGCCCTTTCTACCGGAAGTAATATCACACTCCAAATTCAATAGGAATTAATTCTGTTAATAAAAGTAAATAACTAATTCATTTTCAAAAATTTAAATAAAAATTATTAAAAGTTAAATAGTTTGGACAATTGCCCAGTTGCCCAAAGGTAATTTGCGTAGAGAAATGGGTTTAGCTACCGCTAATATAAACTACTCTAGACCAACTGCGGCTGTAGTAACAACTACATCTGCGTCTGCATACGGGGCAATATGAGTAATGTGGGTAATTTTCGCGGAGCACAGTCGGTTCGTGGTGTATTTGCGAAGCCCCGCCAGCTAACCGTGTCTAGGGATTTATGAATATTATATACGCAAACCCAGCCTGTCTGTTAAAGTCAACAGACGGAGTACCAGCCAATTCCGAGCTAGTTCCGCTTAGATACGTCAAAAAGACGAGCGCGCGCGATTGAGGAATTAAAGTTTCAGCAGAACAATCTCACGACTGTAAAGCCCCCATACCGCGTTTCAATTGTACTTTGATTGAAAACGATAATCTATCGTCTCATTTTGCATATTTTTGTTTTCGTTGCAGCGAACTTGGCGAACACGCAGACGGACCTCGCCCTCTACATCGGCCTCACCCTCGCAGTCTTCTTGGTTACGTTGCTCTCTTTCCTGCTGCTGAGGGCATGGCGGAAGAAGGGGCAACATCAATCTTTGTACAACATGACAGCCAACGGTAGGTACCCTTCGATATGCCCTCCGAAATAAGGTTCATTAATTTTGATCTATGGCTTGGCGTATAATGAAGCGTTAGTTTTTTTCCTACCCGCGCCGCTGGGAAACTTGTTTTATTACGACGCCGACCGAGTTTTATAGGTCGACGGACAGTGCATCGTAAAAGACGGCGTTTACTACTAGAAATCGATATAAAACACTGAAAAATAAATAATATTTGTGTTTATTGGATCTCAAACAGCTAAGTAATAAAATTTGAGAAATATCATTTCTAATTTCCGTTATTTAATTGTTAATAAACTGCGATTTTTCAATATTAAGGACTTTAATAGTCATGTACAAGATAAATATGAGAGATTGTCCAATTATAATAAGTAAGCCTATTTATTATTATGCAGGAATAATGGATTTAGTGGGGTGGAAATTTAAGCACCTTAAAATTGCTGACATCTTCAAAACCACGAAACCCTCCTCGTTGAGCAATGCCACCTCCTTGAAAAGGTGATCTACTTCAAAGCTTTTAGAGTCTATTGGCACAAATATTGCCAGATGTACAGGGTGGTTCAAATTTTACATGTCTCGATCTCTTTTTTAAATGTGCCATTATCTTGGTTATTATTATAGGTGGAGTATTATAATTAAGACATTTTATAGACACTTTTATACAGAGAATTTTTTCGGTTTTAAATTTTGAGATATTATGACAATTTTCGTTTTTTTAAATGGAAACAATCACTGATTATTCGCTTATTAAATTCGTTATTTTTTTCTGATTACAAAAATATAGGGTTAGATAGGTCTATTTCTTATTGTTTTAGAATAAAGCTAAAAATAAACTTTTTTTAGTGTTGTCAAACAAATTAAATTTACAGTTTCCTGTAAATTATGGTACTATAAAAATTATTCTACTAAAAATTTATATATAATTTACTTTATTTTCTAATATGTAACATTCTAACATGTTAAACTTTTCGTAATCCATCTTAAAAAACAGGATTTTTAATTTAACTTCAGAAAATTTTTGAATACAAACTAATGTTGTTTATTTGAATTAAAAAAAAATATATATATGAGCGCCATCTATCAATAATTTATTAAGTCATTTAATAATAATTAAATTAAATATTAAATATTAATAAAAAATGTGAAATAATGTAATTTATTCGAACTTTTGTGTAAAACAAATATAAATTAAATAGTTCAACAAATGTATTTGTTTCAAATATCAGAAATATGTTTTTTTAATTTTTAGTTATAATTTACAGGAAACTGTAAATTTAATTTCTTTGACGACACTAAAAAAAAGTTTTATTTTTACCTTTATTCTAAAACAATAAGAAATAGACCTGTCAAACCCTATATTTTTGTAATCAGAAAACAATAACGAATTTAATAAGCGAATAATCAGTGGTTGTTTCCATTTAAAAGAACGAAAATTGTCATGATATCTCAAAATTTAAAACAGAAAAATTTTTTTGACTACGTCTTCAAATTCTCTGTAAAAAAGTGTTCATACAATGTCAAATATTATATAAGATATAGTATTATATGTAGTCTTAATACTCCACCTATATATATTTCTTATTGTTTTAGAATAAAGCTAAAAATAAACTTTTTTTTAGTGTCATCGAAGAAATTAACTTTACAGTTTCCTGTAAATTACGGCATTATAACTAAAAATTAAAAAAACATATTTCTCCAATCCAAAACAATGCAATCCATTAAATATTTCCATATTAACAGTTGGTGTAATAAACATAATTATTTGTTTTTAAATACCAGAAAAATAATACCCCGTAATTTACAGGAAACTGTAAATTTCATTTCTTCGGCGACACTAAGTAGATTTCAGCGGCGTTTAAAAATTTTATAAAAAAAGTTTATTTTTAAATTTATTCTAAAACAATAACAAATAGATGCTTTTTGACTACGTCATCAAATTCTCTGTAAAAAAGTGTCCATATAATCTCTTAGTTATAATACTCTACCTATAATAATAACCAAAATAATTGCAGTTGCTGGTTTTACGATATTTTCAATTTTGGCCTCTAGGAGAAAATCAAAGAACGATAGCGCTTTGCGGTTTTCGGCATTAGCAGTTTCTCGAAAAACGAGATCATGACATGTAAGCTACTTTTTTTCAAAATTAATCACTTAGGAACAAACAATCTAGATTATTCAGCTTCATATCTTGACCCAGTTTATTGTAACCAAAGATAGCTTTCAATATTCGGCTTCTCTTGGAAATATTAATGTTGTGTCATAAACAGAATCAACTGTGAGGATGAGTTTTTGGTAGTTCCTAGTTTTTGGTGACTCTATTTTCTTCTGACTAATTCAGGTCTTGGTCATCTGACTCAACTATATGGTAATAATGTAAGCAGGAGAAACTCTTCAGTTATCTCTATGTGGACAAACATTTGTGTAATTTTCAAAGTGCTATTTTGTATTAATATTATTAATAAACTACTTCCATAGTAATAAAACACATGATTTATTTGAAAATTACATAAAACAAAATTTAAAGTGATTCAATCTGAATATTAATCGGCAAATCGAAGTTTACTTGGATTAAAACGTCGATGGATTGACGGCAAATTTCGGTACCATTATGTTGATAGGATGTAAACCAAACATTGGAAGGCAAACACGATTGTTATCGCATATATACCGCGTTGTAATTACGACTGATGGTTCTGCCGTTCAATTTCGACCACCAGAAGCTAGAGGTTTTCGTTGTCTGCGCTATTTGCGGAATAAATTAAATGTGCCCGATTCATCCATGTCTGGTTTGTTTTTTCTTTCCTTTTTTTCGATTAAACCCTAATAGGATTCTCCATGGTACCGCCTCACTTCAGTTTTAATTGAGTGTCAGATACAAATAATCCTCATTAGTGATTTTTTTTTATCAACAGACTTATTTAAGAGATAAAAATGTAATTATATTTTTTCAAAGCGTTTTGTATATAATCTGACGTGTGGGTTGTATTGTGACCACCTCTGGAGTGTATCCGTTTCAATCTTTCAATTACCGTCCTCATGCATTTCCAAGCAGCACGCTTATTGATTCCGGGCAAGGCGAATTAGCAAGAAGGCCGCGGCAGTGCCATCTGGCGTCTCAAGAAGGGGTCCTTGTTTGTCCTCTCCCGGCCCCACAACGCAATAAATTAAGTGCACGACAAACGGTTCTCGGTAACGTTTAAGGGCGACGTTATGGAGAGAGGCCGGCCTCATAGGTATGTGTGTTTGTGGCCATTAATATTGATATTCCTCCAACCTCAACCATATACATTTACCATGCAAATGTAAATCAAACCATAAAGAGATAAAATCATAAAAGTACTACGTTTTAAAACTCGAATTACTTTATAACCTGAGTCTACATAGAAATAAATTTCATTACGTGGAAATGAAATTGGGACAAAAGAGTTTTAAATTTTGTACGCCCACACGTGCGTTCTGTAATTAAAATTTACGATAGCAGATAAGTCGTCGTGCCGCAGGAAATGTCGCCGGTCCTTTAATTGGGCAAGGATAAACAAATGTTCCTCATCGTCTTGGGATTCTTGCGAGGACCACCGCTGCGGGTAATTGAGCCATTCGCCGGAGTTAAGCGGATGCCGGAGCAGTTTACGTCTCGGATAACAAGGCTAACCAACTGCTGACCTGTCGACCCGTCGAATGTAAAGTCGCTTTTTTAATGCCCAGGCCGGTTTGATTGGCTGATAGGAGTCCGGTTACGCGAATTTCACGGTTCAACCCATATGTACGACGACGATTGTCGAGTGCGTGACATCGACCAGTACATAAAAAAGTAATCCAATTTATTTGAAAAATTTTACATAAAGAGGACATAACATAAAACATATTATCTCTTTCAAAACTGATAGAAACAAAGTTATGGATTGATTTATGTTAACTCATACCTAGGATTTAGACATCTAAAAACTTTTAGAAAGCATTTGATAATTAATTGACACCTTTGTGGATTCTCCAAATATATGACAGAAGCTAAGAAAGACATGAAAGCAAGAAAAACAAGAAGAGCTAAGTAATTATTAAAACTAGAACTAACACTAGACCTAGAACTAGAAAGTTTCGGGTTTAGGCGTGCGTCTGAAGACACGAATGTTTCTAGTTCTACGTCTAGTGTTAGTTCTAGTTTTACACCAACACTATCAGTAGAACTAACACAAGACCTGGAACTAGAATCATTCGGGTTTAGCCGTCTTGAGAGACGTGCGGCTAAATCCGAATGATTCTAGTTCCAGGTCTGGTATTAGTTCGAATTTTACACTAGCACTATCACTAGAACTAATACAAGATCTAGAACTAGAATCATTCGGGTTTAGCCGTCTTGAGAGACGTGCGGCTAAATCCGAATGTTTCTAGTTCTAGTAAAAATCTTTTGCAAAACTTATAGAAACAAGTTATTGACAACATGGATTAATTTATGTTAACTTATACCCAGGATTTAGACATCTGAACATTTTTAAAAATTATTTGATAATTAATTGACACCTTTGTGAATTCTCCAAATAGATGACAGAAGCTAAGAAAGACAAGAAAGCAAGAAAAACAAGAAGCGCTGAATAACACTTAAAACTAGAACTAACCTTATTACTGCATAGAGCAGAAAATTTTCTATCTGTTTTATATGATCCCGGAGTTTTGTATGTATCATATAAGAAGGTTGTAAAGCCGCAAATATTTAAATACGACAATTATATGATGTTGAGAGGTTTTATAATTTTTAAGCTTCTACAAACAATTAAAATCAAATATAAAAATAAATTGTCCAAAACTGAAACACATGGTTTGAGTTTGTCTACGCGTCCTAATTAATATTAAAAATGAAGTCTATGAGCGTTGAAAAAGAGATACGCGACGTGACATATGGTTGTCGGAAGGGTTACAAGGAGACGTTGTCGGCAAATGTGTGAGAAAAACCCATTTATTCAGTGTGCGTCTTTGTTCCAAATCCGGCGGCGACGGGCATCCAATAAAGACCAAAAAGCGAAACTCACAGGAAACGCGCCAGTAATAAATAACACGGGCAATTAGCAACTCGCGGGCACCCAGCTCATTAATACGCGGGATGAAAATCTCACGTGACGAATGAACTTTGCCGCGTGATTAGTCACGTACCGTACGATTTATCATGTCTTTTAGGGGGCGAACATTTCACCCCCTTAAAATCAGACGGCTTCATCTAAAATGTATTTCTGTACGTTCGGAATTTACTATTAGAACTTGTTAGAAACTCTTCTTAAATTCCAAATAAATTCCGAAACGAACAACCGGGGGGTTACGTTCGTTTTTAGACAGTTTGAGATTAATGATTTTCATGGGGACCAAGTCGTATTTACCTACTCTAAACATCGAGTCTCTTTTTTCCAACTTGGAAATCTTCAAGTTAAAGTTCACGAAACTTGTTTGAGAGTTTGAGTCGTATCCTATTTTAAAACACCTTCAGTTAGATCTGGCCTGATATACGACCGTCGAGGTTGAAGTGTCAGGCATAAACTAGCCTAATTACAGAATGAAATTTCAGTTTCCCAAAATATACGTCTTGCTCAACTGACAAGTTTATGGTCGTTTCCTTTCGATTTTCATTCACACGTAATATTTGGTTTCTTATAATCATCTCAACACATTTAAACTGAAAAAATTTTAGAATATTAATGGTTGTTCCATTATTAAAACTCCAAGACCATATAGAATCGATAGGAAATTTTCTGATCTACACGGTGGTATATAATATTCATCAATCATTTGATTTTACAAGGATCTTTTCCTCTAATACTACATAAACCTCATAGAATGGTCATATTTAAATGTTTATGGCTTTTTAACTTTCTTATATGATATGGATAAAAGTCCAAGACCATACAGAATCGACAGGAAATTTTCTGCTCTACGCAGTAATGTATAATATTCACATATCAGTTGATTGCACAAGCATGTTTTCCTTTAAAACTACGTCAACCTCATGTAATAGTGTCTATATTAAATATTTACGGCTCATAACTTCCTTATATGATGCGACAAAACTCCAAGACCATACAGAATCGATAGGAAATTTTCTGCTCTACGCAGTAATGTATAATATTCACCTATCAGTTGATTGCACAAGCATCTTTTCCTTTAAAACTACGTCAACCTCATGTAATAGTGTCTAAATTAAATATTTACGGCTCATAACTTCCTTATATGATGCGACAAAACTCCAAGACCATATAGAATCGATAGGAAATTTTCTGCTCTACGCAGTAATGTATAATATTCACCTATCAGTTGATTGCACAAGCATCTTTTCCTTTAAAACTACGTCAACCTCATGTAATAGTGTCTAAATTAAATATTTACGGCTCATAACTTCCTTATATGATGCGACAAAACTCCAAGACCATATAGAATCGATAGGAAATTTTCTGCTCTACGCAGTAATGTATAATATTCACCTATCAGTTGATTGCACAAGCATCTTTTCCTTTAAAACTACGTCAACCTCATGTAATAGTGTCTAAATTAAATATTTACGGCTCATAACTTCCTTATATGATGCGACAAAACTCCAAGACCATATAGAATCGATAGGAAATTTTCTGCTCTACGCAGTAATGTATAATATTCACCTATCAGTTGATTGCACAAGCATCTTTTCCTTTAAAACTACGACAACCTCATGTAATAGTGTCTAAATTAAATATTTACGGCTCATAACTTCCTTATATGATGCGACAAAACTCCAAGACCATATAGAATCGATAGGAAATTTTCTGCTCTATGCAGTAGTGTATAATATGCATCTATCAGTTGATTGCACAAGCATATTTTCCTCTAAAACTACGAAAACCTGATATAATTGTCGTACTTAACTATTTACGGCTTATAACTTTCTTATGTAATACGGCAAAACTTCAAGACCATATAAAATCGATAGGAAATTTTCTGCTCTATGCAGTAATGTATAATATTCACGTATCAGTTGATTACACAAGCATCTTTTCCTTTAAAACTACGACAACCTCATGTAATAGTGTCTTAATTAAATATTTACGGCTCATAACTTTCTTATATGATGCGACAAAACTCCAAGACCATATAGAATCGATAGGAAATTTTCTGCTCTACACGATGGTATATAATATTCATTAATCATTTGACTTTACAAGAATCTTTTCCTCTAATACTATATAAACCTCATATAATGGTCATATTTAAATGTTTATGGCTTTTTAACTTTCTTATATGATATGGATAAAACTCCAAGATCATATAGAATCGATAGGAAATTTTCTGCTCTACCCAGTAGTATATCATATTAATCGATTACTTCATTGCACAAGCTCAAATCTCATATAATTGTCGTATTTAAATATTTACGTGGTTATAACTTTCTTATATGATATACACAAAACTAAATTAATCATATAGAATCACTAGGAAATACGCTTTTTAGTGGTATATTTAATATGCAGTTATCTCCAAAAATAACGAATTAAATATGTGGAAAAACAAGTTTGTTACTTAATTACAGAATATGTTTTGTGTTATAAAGTTTAAGAAAAAGTTTTAAATTAATTTAATTAGCGGTTTATTCCAAAACTATTTTCGAGTGTCCGGGTAACTCCAAGAACTCCCCAATATTTGTTTAAGACGTTATAGTCCCGTGGGAAACGCCGCAGCCATCCGAAGAATTTTTGATGCGGCTTTATAAATTTGTTGAAGGAAGTATCGGTTTCATAAGTACCACGCCTTCGCCTCCACCCACCTTTAAAACTTCTTTTTAACCCCGACATTCACTTCTCACAGAATTAAATTTTTTATTATGTCCAAAAATATTAATATGTTGTTATTTTTAGATTATCACCCAGAATTTTTCCCGGAACACGATAAGAAATCGCTCGCTTTACAACCGGATCTAACACAAACGGTTCCACCTTGTTACGAATATCCATACCCAGCATCTTCAGTAACGAGATCGGTATCGGAACATCATTATGATGTGCCTCATTTAGCTTCTGGAAGTGATATCCAAATGTCTCCTGCTACAAGTTCTACTTTGGAGTCATCAAGCGGAAAAAGAAGTCAGCTAAGTGGGTTTACTAATAATTGTAAGATTTTTTGTAATGTATAAATTAATTTTTTAATAATTTCATTTTTAATTTTAGCTGACTCCACCTATGAAGTAGCAACCGAATCTGTAACTTTACCACTACCATCCCTACCAACAGCTTACGCTGTGAGTCCTGCTACGAGTGGAACCTACACTGTAGCGACCGTAACATCAGCAGGAACGCATTTGAACCTCCCAGGGAATGAAATAAGCCTTTTAATACCAGAGGGCGCCGTTGGAAGAGGGCGAAAATCGGAGCTGTTCCTATCGATTTTAAACGAAGACTGTTTCCGACCTAGAGTAGCGGAAACTGTAACCCAACTAAGCCCCGTAATTTCCTGCGGGCCAAATATTTCCCTAAATAAATCCGTAATCATAAAAATCCCCCATTGTGCGGATTTATCCCGAAATAACTGGTCCATAATCGTTTTGCAAAGTGATTGCAGCGATTCCCAGTGGCAAACGGCGGTAACTTTAGGGCAAGAAACCATCAACACAGAGCTTTTCTGCCAATTAGACCGAGATAAAGTCTATCTTGTTACCGATACCTTATCCAGATTTGTTATAGTTGGGCATTCCGTGAACGGATACGCAACAAAACGCTTAAAATTAGCCGTTTTTGCCCCTAAACTATGTACACAATCCTGCATGGATTACAACGTAAGAGTTTACGTTTTAGAGGACACCGAAAGCTCCATGGAGACCGTTTTTAGCCAAGAAAAGCGACTCGGGGGTTACTTACTCGAAGAACCTAAGTCAATAAACTTTCAAGACGGCGGAAACGCTTTATGTTTACATTTAGAAAACATTAGCGAAGGTTGGAAAGCCAAACCGAGTTCTAATTACCAAGAGATCCCATTTAAACATTTATGGCAAGCGAACAGCAACAGTTTGCACTGTTCGTTTTCGTTGGAGGCCATAAAAATTACGAGAATTTTAAATTTCAAAATCAGGGTAAATCAAAAATCGTCCGAACATTACCAAAACTTCGATATAACCTGCCGGGACGATACCGAAATGTCCAATCGAACCAATTCCGCTAAAACCTACAATGAACTTTTGCCAAAAGTGACGGTACAAAGTGAAACGACACGATCCGCCAACGATATGCCGCGGAGTTACAAGAATCAACAGACGAATCAAAACGAGGACCTAAGAAGTGCCAAAAACTTAGAAGCGCCAAAATTGAAAAACCTAATACTAACCGATAGAGGTGTATCAACATGTGATGATTTCGTGTTTAGATTAGATAGGAATATTCGCAAACAAATATGTCAATGTTTAGATCCCCCCACTCAAAGAGGAAACGATTGGCGCATGTTGGCTCATGCCCTCTCAGTTGATAGATACATAAATTTTTTCGCCACCAAGCCATCCCCAACCGACTGCATTTTGGATCTTTGGGAGGCTAGAAATAGACAAAGCAACGCTATGACTGAATTAGTAAGCGTTTTTAAAGATATGGAACGAATGGATGCTGTGAAAGTTATGGAAAGTATTTTAGGACCCAATTGGCTATAAAAAGCCTAAAAACGAATTAAACAAAAAAAAATTTCACTCAATTTATTAACCAATAAGTAACTTTGTTGATTCATTGTAAATATAACAATACTATTTGCCAATTACGTTATTCTTTAAAAATTACAATAATTATAAACGATATTTATACAAAAAAAGAAGAAACGAAAAAATTAAATTAAAAAAAGAATTAAATAGTTTATGTAAAAGAATTAATTGTGCAATTATGTATATTACTTGTATTACAACTTACAATGATAATTGATTAAAAAAAACAACGCTGAGTGTAAGCTGAAAAAAAACAAAGGATTTAAAAACCGAAACTATTCACCACTTGTTAAATAAAGGCACCGAAACAAAAAAACGAAAATTGAATAATAAAATAATAATAAACGAATAAAGGTAATTCTCTTAACTCCTTGTAAACGCGAAAAAGCGGATGAGAAACGTACTAGTTTTAGTGTGTAACGAAAAGAAAGGAATCGTGGAAAATAATTGTCGAAATACTTGTAGAGTTTTATACAGAAAAAGATGAAAGAATCAAAAGTAGTTTTCTAGATATTTTAGACATGTTTTTGTACAAATCACCGGCGAAAACAAAAGTTTAAATAAATGAGAAAAAAGGGTCGCTTTGGAGACGAATTTTTCTTTCTGTTCTACTTTACAGATGATGTACCGCGTATTTTTAGTTTATGTTCGTGTATATATAGAAAGATAAATATATATATCGACTTTTTATACAAAAAATGAAGTTTTATTTTCAAAATTTATACTAACCTTGTCCATTAATTACTAAAAACATTTAAATACCTACATTATACATGAAACAATTAATTCAAATTCAATTTTATCAACAAATATAAATAATAGAAAAAAAATTTCTTATTAAAAAAAGTGTAGCATTCGATAAGAAATCTTTTTTATTGTATTCATTTTCTTCCATTTCGTATACTTTTTGAGTTATCATCAAACACAGTCAATAGTTAAAATTAAAAATAGTTAGGTTATGTTGTGTTAGTGCAGTAAATACTGATGGTAGAAAAAAACTTTTTAATTATAAAATAATCCTTGTTTAATAAGAAATATGTTTTATTAAAATCATTTTTTCCAAAATCATTTAGTTTAATAGTTATATCAATTTTTATTAACAAATTTTAAAGAAATGACAAAATTTTCAATTTTATCAATAAATATAAGAAATAGAAAAAAACTTTATTATTATAAAAGATGCAGTATTTAATAAGAAATCTTTTTTATTCTATTCATTTTTTATCATTTTGTTTAATTTCGGAGTTATCATGAAATTTAGTCGACAATTAAAATTGATAGTAGTTAGGTTATGTTGTAATACAATAATAAGTATTGATAATAGAGAAAAAATGTTTAATTATAAAATAATCCTTGTTTAATAAGAAACTTTTTTTATTAAAATCATTTTTACCAAAGTAATTTAGTTTAATAGTTATATCATTTTTTATAAAGAAACAGCCTGATTATTTTGAATTTTATCAATAAATATACGAAATAGAACAAAAATTTGTTATTATAAAAGATAGAGCATTTAATAAGAAATCTTTTTTATTATATGTATTTCTTTCCATTTCTTTTAGTTTTTGAGTTATCATGAAATATTATCGATAAATAAGATTGAAAATAGTTAGGTTATGTTGTAGTTCAACAACAAATATTAAAGATAGAGGAAAACTTATTAATTATAAAATAATCCTTGTTTAATAAGAAACTTTTTTTATTAAAATCATTTTTCCCAAAGTGATTTAGTTTAATAGTTATATCACTTTTTATAAAGAAACAGCCCGATTATTTTGAATTTTATCAATAAATATACGAAATAGAAAAAAAGTTTCTTATTACAAAAGATAGAGCATATAATAAGAAATCTTTTTTATTATATGTATTTTTTTCCATTTCTTTTAGTTTTTGAGTTATCATGAAATATTGTCGATAAATAAGATTGAAAATAGTTAGGTTATGTTGTAGTTCAACAACAAATATTAAAGATAGAGGAAAACTTTTTAATTATAAAATAATCCTTGTTCAATAAGAAACTTTTTTTATTAAAATCATTTTTCCCAAAATAATTTAGTTTAATAGTTATATCAATTTTTATAAAGAAACAGCCCGATTATTTTGAATTTTATTAATAAATATACAAAATAGAAAAAAAGGTTCTTATTACAAAAGATAGAGCATTTAATAAGAAATCTTTTTTATTATATGTATTTTTTCCCATTTCTTGAGATATCATCAAATAAAATCAACAATTAAAATTAATATTAGTTAGGTTGTTATAATACATCAATAAATATTTATGATAGAGAAAAACTTATTGATTATAAAATAACCTTTATTTTATAAGAAACTTTTTTATTAAAATCATTTTCCCCAAAGTAATTTAGTTTAATGCTTATATTAATTTTTATAAGGAAATGAGATTATTTTCAATTTAATCAATAAATATAAGAAATAGAAAAATTCTTTCTTATCAAAAAAGATGTAGTATTTTATAAGAATTATCTTTATTCTATTCATAATTTTCCATATCGTTTAGTTCAAAAAATTCAAAAAAAAAATAAGTATTTTGAATTTTGAAAGGGTATGCAACTTTCATTACACTTTCGTCAATGCGGTTGTCTATAACCTGCTCCTTTTCAACCTAAAATAGATATAAATTTATTTATATTTATTTTGGTTTTAGTTACATGGAGTATTTATTAAAAAATAACTTTTACCCCATTAATTTATTCTCTTTTTAAGCTAAAATCTTTTTCATTATGACTCAATCTCCAGGTGAAGTTTTTATTTAGTTGCTGTTCTTAAAAAGATCAATTATATTTCCTATATTTATGTAGCCAAGTATTATTTATGCAATAAATGTATATTATTAAATAATTGTTTGTAATAATAATGATAAGGCGTTAAAATAATTTTAATCCACAGTTGACGTTTCCATTTTGGAGATGGTGATAAATTTACAGCCTCGCAAAGTCTGTAGCTTGCGGTGAAAATCAGCTGGCGCTTATACGATAATTTATGACCGAATCAGACCGGGCAGCCATAAGCGCGAATGGGAAAAAAGATAACAGAATCCGCTTTGCCTCGAACGCGGGTCTTCGTTTCAGGTTCAGTATGCTCAGAAACGTCGGAGCTCGGTTTTGCCACTTCCTAAAGACATCATCACTTCTCCCGCTTCGAATCAGATTTAATTTTAAAGTACCTATTACTACTTAGGTCGAGGAAAAAATAAAATTGAAAGGAAAACGCAATTTTTGGAAACTGTGTGGAAAACGTCACACTCCGATGTTGGGATAGATTTGATTACTGGTAGGGGTGGGTTTCGTAAGCTGATTTCAACGGGAAGATCTCAAAGGTCTAAAGAGTGGCAGAAAAGTCCTTAGCCTCGATAGCCGGGGCTGTCCTTTTAAATTGCTTCCAATAAATGACGTCAGAGAGCATATAGCTCGGGGGAGGAATATGGCTTCCTTTTTCGACGACAGATTTAATACCCATTTATTTCTATCTCTCCCTCCTTCTTTTCGACGATTTAAGTGAGTTCTCATTTTAATAAAAATATCTCTTCTCTTGAGGTTACCCAAATAATATTCATTTTCGATTCATTTCAACACTTATTCTTTTTTATTTCTAATTAAATAAGTAAAAAATTTTATTTTGAAGGGAAAATAATATAATAATAATAATAAT